TACATTTGGAAACAGAAAATCCTCTCTGTTTGTTTTAACATATAGGGTCACACTACATGTTTCCACAACTGCTCCTCCCCACTCAGCATGTCTGAGAAGGCTTGCTATGTCAGGCTCTGTGGAGCTGCCTCCTTATTTTCACGCTGCAGAGGTCTCTGCAGTAGGGTTGTGTCCCTAGAGGTCTCTGCAGTAGGGTTGTGTCCCAGTCCAAGCGCAATGCCCTAACTACTCAGTTCCTCTCATCTCTGCCAGCACCAGATAGTATCTTGTTTGACTCTCTCAGGTTGGCAAACTTTAAATTGAGTGGTACCTTGTTTTAATTTCGTAGTTCTCATGAAGTGAAGCCTGTTTGCATCTATTTATTCTCTGTTTCCTCTTCTGTAAATACTCTTTTCTTATCCTTTGCTCACTTTCTTCGTTTTTATCTTAGTGATGTGTATGCAGGTATCCATTATGCATTATTAATCTTTTGTTATGTTTATTCAGAATCACACTAACTTTATTTTTCTGATTATGAAAAGAATGCAAGATGCATATATAGCAAAGAGATTGAGGCAGTAATGAAAAAAAAGTCTTCCAACATTTAACAAAGAAAAGTCTAGGACCCCATGGCTTATACCAGACATTTTTATTTAATCATTTTATTGGGGGCTTGTACAACTCTTAGCACAATCCATACATCCATCCATTGTGTCAAGCACATTTTATACCAGACATTTAAAGAAGAATTAGCAGCAATTCCCAAACTCTCCCAGGAAAACAAAACAGCAAGGAATGATTCCTGCCCAATCCTACAAGGCTAGCATTACCCTGTTAACAAAGCCTAATAAAGATACTACAAGAAAAGAGAACTACAGGCTGGTATCCCTTATAAATATAGATGCAAAGATTCTCAACAAAATAGGAGCAAATGAGCAGTGGCCGGCCGCTCTCTCCCGCGGTGAATGACGAGGCAGAGCTGGCGGCGGCAGTGCCACCGGGAGGAGGTGTCTGAGCGGAAGGTAATAAATCATCGGCAAGATGTCTTCAGCACCTGAGCCCCCAGCCTTTAAAAATGAAGCACCCAAAGACAAAGATTTTCAAAACCCGGGTCTCAGAGGGGTCCGCACAACAACTTTATTTCAAGCCGTGAATCCAGAGCTTTTCATTAAACATAACAAACCGGTAATGGCTTTTGGATTGATAACCCTTTCACTTTGTGTGCCTTCTATTGGTTACCTACATGCAACGCAAGAGAGAAGAAGGACCTCTACAAAGCTATTGACAGTGAGGGCCACAGTTACATGAGGAGGAAAACATCTAAGTGGGATTGACAGTATACGGAGCCTATGACCACCTGCAAAATCTTCAAGTGAAAGGCTTTGTGAGCCACGATTCTGTTTCTCGTTCTAGAGCAGTTACTGAGGAAAGAAGGTAGCAGTTGCAACCAGACCGCAGTAGTGAATTTGCCCTTTCCAAGCTGTAGCCATCATCCTTTTTCTTACGAAAGAGCTTCTCAATGTTTCTCTTTATTAAGTGCCATGAGAATGGAAGTCACTTTTGTAAATTACTAAGTTCTCTATATTAAAGGTACTCAGTGCTGTTAAAAAATAATAGGAGCAAATGGAATGCAGCAGTGTATTGAAAGGATTCTACATCACAACCAAGTGGTAACACAATAGTCCAGAAGTGAAAAATCAGTCATTGTAATATGCCATATTAACAGCATTGCAATATACCATATTAACAGGGAAAAAACAAACACATGTGATCGCCTTAATGCAGAAAAGGCATTTGTCACGATCTACTGTCTTTTCATCATAGAACTACTCAGAGAACTAAGATTAACAGGGAAATTCCTCAGCGTGACAAATGATATTTATAAAAAACTTGCAATGACTTTTATATACTTAATGATGAAAGCCTGAAAGCTCCCCCTGGAAGATCGGGAACAAGAAGAGGATGCCTGCTTTTACAACAGGCCTCTGTGAAGTGGTGGAAAGCAAGGATGTTGCTTTGGGGAGCCTAAGGTGACCCTGACCCTAAGGTGACCCTGACCCAGCCATGGTATTTTCAGTCGCCTCACGTGCGAGTTGGAAGGGAGCAGAAGAATCGATGCATTGACACATTTGAATTGTGGTCTTGGCAAAAACTATTGAAAGTGCCACGGACGGCCAGAAGAACAAACGTGTCTTGGAAGAACAGCCAGAGTGCTCCTTAGAATTGAAGGCATGAGACTTCATCTCATACTTTATACCAGTCCCTGGAAAAGGACGTCAGCCTTGGCCGAGTTGACGGTCATCAGAAGAAGAGGAAGACTGTCGAGAGGTGGAGTGACACAGTGGCTGCAGCAATGAGCTCAAGCATGACAACCACTGTAAAGATGGCACAGGACGGAACAGTGTTTCTTTCCTTCTGTTGTGCATAGAGTTGCTGTGAGTCGGGAGCGAATCAGTGGCCCCTAACAGCATTCACCGTTGCTGGAAGTAAGTTGTAGCCAGAGCAGTTCATCAGAAAACAAGAAAAGGTACTCATATTGGAAAAGAAGAAGTAAAGCTATTTCTGTTTGATATTTGATATGACGGTCCCAAAGAATTCATAAACTTCCTAGAACTACTCAGTGAATTCAGGAAAGTTGCAGGGCACAAGAACAACACGCAGGAATAAGTTGTGTATTTCCATCAGCAGTGAACGATTTGAAAAGGAAATTAAAAACAAAAAAAACACGTTTTCTTAAAACAATGCCTTGGAGTAAATTTAGCCAAGAAGGTGAAAAATTGAAAACTGTAAAACATTCCCAAAAGAAATTAAGCTCTAAATAAACAGATGTAACCATATACTAGTGTCTAAGCCGAGTTTTCCAGCACATTTTTAATGCAGTTTTTGTGGTAAAATTAGGTGCCTTGGCTGATATTCAGGTCGGCTTTATATTAAGAATATATGGTATTTATATATTGAAAGATATATTGCATTTATGGATTGGAGCCATAATTTTAAGATGTAAATTTTAGCCAAAATAATTCACAATGTAATTCCTATTAAAATTCTTTTTTTTAAATCGTTTTATTAGGGCCTCATACAACTCTTATCACCATACATACATACATCAGTTGTGCACATATGTACATTCATTGCCCTCATCATTTTCAAAACATTTGCTCTCCACTTAAGCTCCTGGCATCAGGTCCTAATTTTTTTCTCCTCCCTCCCTGCACCCCCCTCCATCATGAACCCTTGATAATTTATAAATTATTATTTTGTCATCTTGCCCTGTCCGACATCTCCCTTCACCCACTTTTCTGTTGTCCATCCCCCAGGGCAGAGGTCACATGTAGATCCTTGTAATCAATTCCCCCTTTCCAACCCACCCTCCCTCTACCCTACCAGTATCGCACCACTATTACCACTGGTCCTGAAGGGCTCATCCGCCCTGGATTACCTGTGTTTCTAATTCCTATCTGTACCATTGTACCTCCTCTGGTCTAGCCAGACTTGCAAGGTAGAATTGGGATCATGATAGGGGTGGGAGGGGAGGAAGCATTTAGGAACTAGAGGAAAGTTGTATTTTTCATCGTTGCTACATCGCACCCTGACAGGCTTGTCTCCTCCCCGAGACCCTTCTATAAAGGGATGTCCAGTGGCCTACAAATGGGCTTTGGGTCTCCACTCCGCACAACCCCCCTCATTCACCATGGTAAGATTTTTTGTTCTAATGATGCCTGATACCTGATCCCTTCGGAATCCACTCATTGGCAGTTTTTGGTTTCTTCGTGCAAGAAAAGGACCTCTAGTGACACTGGAGTAAGGCTTGGGCTGCTAACCCCAAAGTTGGCAGTTCAAACCTACCAGCTCCCCGGCGGAGGAAGATAAAGATGGACAGTGTCGATTACTGTGAGTCAGAATTCACTTGGTGGCAGTGGGCTAGTTCCAGAAAAGGCTTCACATTTTTCAGTGATCTAAAAGCTGTATGTGCAGTGAGTGAAGGTGATTGAGTGGTGAAGAAATTATTGTGAGCAGGGGTTGGTTTAGTCTTTTGTAAGTGAGGGCAAATTTACATCACATGAAAAGGCAACTGGGAGTTGTCAGATGTTAGCCCTGGGACTGACGGGACTTCTAATTAACAGTTAGACCCAGCTATGGACAGGCAGAACAAAGCGACTACCAGAAGATATAAAACGACAGGGATCACATTACCCTTTGTTGACATCTTAAAATTATGGCTCCAATCCATAAATGCAATATATCTTTCAATATATAAGTACCATATATTCTTAATATAAAGCCGACCTGAATATCAGCCAAAGCACCTAATTTTACCACAAAAACTGCATTAAAAATGTGCTGGAAAACTCGGCTTAGACACTAGTATATGGTTACATCATGGGTTATGCGTTGCAGGCCACAAGGTCAGCAGGGCTTCAGAACTACAAGCTGCTCTGGGAGAAAAACGAGGCTTTCTACTCCTGGTTAGAGCTAGATTCTCAGAAACGCACAGAGGCAATTCTAGTCTGTCCTGTGGGGTTGGGTTGGGTCAGAATGGACTCAGCGGCAGTGAGTTTGGTGTGGGTTTCAGTGTAAGAAGCAACTCTGGTCACATACTAGGTTGTGCACTGGACTGCTAACCATGAGGTCAACCATTTGAACCCTCTAGCCTCTCCTCAAAAGAAAGATGAGGTTTTCTGCTCCTATAAAGATTGACAGTCTAGTGCTGCTCTACACTTGTATCAACATTATGTGGACCACTTATTAAAATGCAGATTCCAGGGCCAATTCCACATCACTTTACTCATAATGCCTGGGTGGTGGGGCCTGGGATTAAAAATTTCTTAGACACACAAGTTCAATAATTTTTTTTTTCACAAGTTCAATAATTAATAGTCTCTTGGCTAGTAAACTAGTAGCCAAGAATGATTTGTATCCCAAATCCATCTCTGTTGACTAAGCAAGTGACAAGGGTGGTCCGTAGCTGACAATTAAAGGAGGTTTCCTCCCGTGAATTCAAAGTGCTCTCCTGCTAAAGAAAAGGGTGGGGGGTGGGGCGGGGAGCATGCTTACTATAAAACCAAACTAGAAAATTATGATGATGAAAATCATCTGAACACCCTCTATGCAGACATGACCATTAAACATCTGTGTCTGTCTCTGTCCATACTAACATGTATGCTCTCTTTCTTGGTAGAATAATTCTTGGCTACAGAATAGGATGTATAAGGGGTCTGCAGAAGGTTCATGGAAAAATTGAATTGGATGATAATGGAGTTTGTCCGCCAGCTTTTGGAAGTATTTTTAAGCTTACTTGATGCATGGTGTAGCCAGCGTAGAACATACATTCTTTGTTGGAAGGCAGATCAGAAAGACAGATGAAAACATAGAATTTCCTCAGTTCTCTTCTTTCTGCCGCAGAGTTTTTCCTTTTGTGGTTCATCTCCACCCCTTCCCCAGGCCACCCCGTCCGTGTGCATCTCCCTGACAGTGGGGAGAGCCGGGAATACCTGCTTTTTCCTCTTGTGACGGCCCAGGGCTGGGCTCCAGCGGCTCTGGCCGTACTTGCTTCCCTCAGATGAGGCCTTCAGCTGGCCCCTGCTCCAGCTTGGACGGTGGTCCCTGGGTTATGTGGCTCATCCTGCTACAGCATGAGGTTTTTATGTTGCTTGGGTTTCCCATTTTTTTGAGGGGTGTCTACATTTTGTATCCCCCGTCAAAGAGTCTCCCCTATTCCAAAACTCAAAAAGCCAAACTGCTGTCAAGTGGATTCCGACTCATAGTGATCTTATTCCAAGATTATAAAAACATTTCCTTATATTTTCTAAACACAGCAATGATTTTAGTTTTTAAAAAACATTTGACCGTTCACTTTTTTTTTTTTGGCAAATGATGTTAAGTAGAGCACCCACTCACTGCCCCTTCCCCCACAAGGATAGTCAGGTGACTCAGCCTCACTTATCAACATGGATTTTATTTTTTGAGAGCAGTTTTAAGTTAACCGAAAACGATGCAACAAGTAGAGGGTTCCTGTCTGCCCCTTCCCTCTCCACTATCTCTCCAGTTAGTGTACTGCATCCTGCCCCCCTTTTGAGTGGGGCTCCCCTTCCTCACTGGTTCAGCGGACACCTTTCCTTCTCATCTGTTGAGTCATTCTCCCTGTATCTATCCCAGCATTCTAATTACTACAGGTTTATAGTTTGGGAACTATCGGCAAGTCTGTCATTACTCTGTTCCGAAGTGTCTGGGTTGTTCTTACATATCTCCTCTTCCTGTGCTTGAATCCGCCTGTCTTTTGGTGGGAATGATACTGACTTAATAGATTTATTTGGAAAGAAAAGCCCGTTTTGCTCGATAGCCTCTTCGTGAGCTGAGAGACAGAGGCCGTCAGACTGTACAGGGGAGCAGATCAGGAGAGACACTGAGGCAAGGGGAGCAGGTTGGAGCAGGGCGGGGGTGGGGTGACTGGGCGGGATCCTGGGGGATGGGGTAGGAAAAGGAGTCAAATGCACCATGGCTATGAAGGCAGGAGTGACTCCTTGGTGTAGGGGGACCCCTACCCCCATATCCCTTCCTTCTCTCAGAGAGAAGATGGTGAAAACCGTGGTGGAACTGCTGACCAACCAGGTCAGAGAGAAGATGGTGGTGGTGCTGACCCTACGCCTCCTGTACTTGCTCATGACCAAGCATGAATGGCGCCCACTCTTTGCCAGGGAGGGTGGCATCTACGCCGTGCTGGTTTGCATGCAGGAATATAAAACCTCCATTTTGGTCCAGCAGGCGGGGCTGGCGGTGAGTGGACTGGGCCTGGTGGGGAGGGGATGGGTGGGTGGGAAAGCTAGGTTCCTGGGCTACACATGGTAAAGAGGTAGTGCAGTGGATTAAACAGAGTAAGTATTGCGGTGGAAAGAACGTTGTGGATGAATTGAAGAGTTCGGGGTGGACAGTCTTAGAGATTGAGTGGCTGCTTGGGGAAAGAGAAGGAGGCTTTTTAGACCAGCACCCAGGTGGGAGAGTGAGCAGCAGGGTAGGTGTGGTGCCCTCTTGTGAAGGAGGGTCATGTCAGCGGGGAGGAAGGTCTGGGGAAAGATAAGGAGTGAGTGAATGGGGAGGTTTACTTTCCTGTGCTTATTTGAGGTACAGTTAGGGAGGTGTCTCATTCAAGACACATTTTTTAGACATAATGATTAAACTAAAATTAAGGTGGTTTTTTTCCCTTTTATTTGAGTGGGACTCTTACTCCTCACCACATATGGGTAAAACAAAGCCAGCATTGCTCTCCCCCCACCCCCCAGTCCTGTGCAGAGAATCCAGAAAGCCCGGATTTGGGGGAGCTCACAGAAGAACAGGCATTCCAACTATTATAGACGGAAAGGTTGAGGTGTGGCCCCTGAGGGGCACAGTGGGCCTGGTCCAGCAGTGCTGAGAGCAGGACTGCAGTGTGTGTCCCCAGTGTAAGGTCCAGGGAGAGGCCAGAGGCACCTGCCTGTGTGGGGTCTCTAGGTGTTCTTCCACGAGCTGCCGCCACACCTTTACTGCACCTCTCACATCATGTGACAAATAGAGAACATTTGCCCCTCAATGAAAACTTGCTCCATAACAAAATGACACCATCTTGTTTATAACCTAACAACCAAACAAACTGTTAGCTCAGAATTGGCTCTGACCCCCTAGGAACCATGTGTGTCAGAACCATGCGCTCCAGGGGTTTCAGTCTAATCTTCGGGAAGTAGATCACCAGGCCTATTCTTTTAGGCACCTCTGGTTGGACTTGAATCTCCAGCCGTTTGGTTAACAACTCAGTGCATTCACTGTTGGCATCACTCAGGGACTCCAGCAATAACTGAAGGTTACAGAATCCAGCTCATTGGTTGGTCTGAGTTGGGTAACCTCATTACACAGTAGCATTTGCTCGGTGGGGCCATACCTCTCAAGGGGGAGTGTCTTGAGCATAATTCCAAATCCATCCCATCCCTAGAGGATTTCTTCTGGGGAGAGTCAGACCTTTACAGACATTCTTTCCCATAATTCCAATTACTCTGCCTATGAGATGACCAAGTCACATTCTTGAGAAGGGGCTGGATACTGACTTTGGAGGTCAAGGGAGTGTTGGCATATAGGTGGCATTTGACGTTACAGGAGTGGACAGGGTAACCTCAAGACATGGAGTGCAGAAGAGAAGGTAAGGGGGCCAGAGAAGAGTGTTCAGGTATCAGACAAAGGAACAACTAGAGAAGTGGGGGATGGGGGGCAGCAGGAAAATGTGGACTCATGGCTCTAAGGGGAGAGAGGGTTTGCAAAGGGAAGAGTGGTGAATCGAGACTGGAAGCAACTCCACGGAAAGCCTACAAAGCAGCTAGAGGGTCTGCAGAGCATTGTCCTGGGGGGAGGGACAGTTAGCCTTGGTGCTGGTGATGTGGGACACGAGGGTGCAGGGAGCCTTACCTGTCCTGGTAAGGCTTCTTCCTGGTCTTTTCCTCTGTTCTTTTTTTTTTGGTAACATCTGATGTCCCATCATAACCACCGTCCTTTCCTACTCTGCTCATTTGTAACAACTCAAGGTTTGGGGTCTAGAATGGGGGCCACTCCTCTGAGCACTGCTAACCCTGCTCCCACCCCCTCTTCACAGGCACTGAAGATGCTGACAATCACCGGCTCCTCTGAGATCCCCACTTTTGTTACCAGCCGAGATTCCGTCCACCCTTTGTTTGACGCCCAGATGACCAGAGAGATCTTTGCCAGCATCGACTCAGCCACCCGCCCGGGCTCAGAGAGCCTGCTCCTTACTCTTCCTGCAGCTGTGATCCTGATGCTAAACACTGAGGGGTCAGGGCATGACCCTCCAAACTCCCGCTAAGCTCCTAGACCCATGTGTCCCACAGAAACGCCTCCCACGGGCTCGCCTCTAGGTTAAACATCAGTGGCACCTCTGCTGTCATGTAACAGAGGCCAAGCACTCGGGCGATGGGGATTCCCAGAGAAGAGCTCACCCCTTCCCTGCCTTCCGGGGGCTGGTAGAGTGACTTGGGTGGACCACTGGAGCTGTAGAATTCCTTCCCCCTGCACCTCCTGCCCTGCTTTCATGACGGTCACTCCTTGTTTCTCTTCGGGTCACCTCTCTCCCCTAGGTGTGCTTCTGCAGTGAGAAATGGCCTGCTCCTGCTCAACCTGCTCTTGTGCAACCATCACACTCTGGGAGACCAGATTATCACCCGGGAGCTGAGGGACACCTTGTTCAGGCATTCGGGGATTGCACCAGGGACAGAGCCAATGCCCACCACACGCACTATCCTCTTGATGCTTCTCAACCGCTACTCAGAGGCGCTGGGCAGCCCTGAGCATGCAGGTACTGTTGTGGAGGGGGCAGCCAGGGGCAGCTGTGGCCAGGAAGGCTCAGGAAGCAAGTGGGCAGTTGGGTGCACAAGCTAGGTTCTAAGAAGAACGACCCCACCAAGGGGAGAGGGACCTTCTAGAATAGGTGCCCTGGGTTTGCCTTTGAATGGCTTTCATCCAGCACTTACCCGACAGCGGTCGCCAGCCCTCACGCCTTCTCAGAAGGGCTCTAAGCGCACGCACGAGGATTCCCATCTGTCGGGGCTAGCTTTAGTCCAGTCTCACCGGACAGTAGACTGTTGACAGAAATGACTTCTAGGGAGGCCCTCTTGAGGAATTGTAATTTACGGTGCAGAAAAATTCTGACTAGAAATGTGAAACACTGATGTCAGGGGAAGAACTCTTTGATTTAAAAAACAAGTGAAAACCCAGAAAGATGGAAGGAAATTTAAATAAGTAATATTAAATTAAATAAGTAATATGTATCTTTTAGGCTATAGATCTAAAGCAAGTACGCTAGGTAGTATAGAGCTGTAGAATTAATAACATGTTTATTGCCTTATGTAATAGGATAGCTAACCTTTAATAATAAAAAGTAATTCCCTGGTTCTATAAGGAGCCCTGATGGCGCTGTTGGGTAAGTGCTGGACTGCTAACTATAAAGTCAGCGGTTCAAACCCACCATCTGCTCTGTGGGAGAAGGATGAGACGTCTGCTCCTGTAAAGATGTACAGCCCTGGATACAGGGTGACTGGGAGTCAGACTTGACCTGCTCACTGTGGGTTTTATTATTACCATGTGACTATACGAGCTGAAGGAGCCTTGGAGGCATAGTGGTTGAGTTGGGCTGTAGTCTGTAAGGGCGGCAGTTCAAAACCAGTAGCCCTTCCTTGGGAGAAAGACAGAGTGTTCTACTCCTGTAAACAGTGACAGTCTCAGAAACTCAAAGGGGTAGTTCTACCCTCCCCTCTACGCCGTGAGCCGGCATCTCCCCGATGGCAGTGACAGTCTGAGACAGGAGATGCAAATCTACTGTTGACCTTGAGAGTGTTTGTCACCCTGGTGGTTTGGTTGTTATTTTGTTTGTTTTAATGTAGCTAACTCTGTATATATTTTGGGCCAGGATAGAAACCATGGGTGTCTTTAAAATGGGAGGAAAGCTTTGGGGTAATTTTTTCTGGACCTTCCCGTTTCTGGGATTGACCAAACTTGTATGACTTCTCTTCATACACATTTTCCCCACCATGTGTCTGGGCTGCAGCACTGGAAACCTCTGGCTCCCAGGGCCAGCAAGGGTCCCCTGAGCTACTGATTCGATCCATAGTGGGGGCCCCATCTGCAGAACTCCTCCTGGACTTGGAGCGGGTATTGTGCCGTGAGGGTGGCCCAAGGGGTGCTGTGAGGCCCCTCCTCAAGCGCCTGCAGCAGGAGACCCAGCCCTTCCTGCTGTTACTTCGGACTCTGGACGCCCCGGGGCCCAACCAAACTCTGCTGCTGACTATGCTGAGGTGAGGGGCCTGTGCAGGCACCGCTCATGCTGGGGACGGGCAGCCGGCGGAGAGCCAGGCACTCACTGTTGCCATCTCCTCACCAGGGTCATGACCCACCTGCTGGATTTCCCTGAGGCAATGGTGCTCTCCTGGCATGAGGTCCTGGAGCCCTGTCTCAACTGCCTGAGTGGCCCCAGCTGTGACTTTGAGGTACCCCGGCCTGGACGGGCATGGGGGCCGGGCGAGGGTGGTTAGCATTTCCAGTCGAGAGCCCAGCAGAGCCTTCCTGAACGGGGCTGGAGGGCCGTGGGTGGGTGAGGCTAGGAACAAGACGGCTAAAGTTATCTAAGAGATTCCAGAACTAGGGTGCCCACGTCTGCCAATCCAAGACTCCTGGCTCCCCACCGCCCGTGTTTTGTGCACTGTGGAGCCACGCTCTGGGCCTAGGAGTGGCTCTTGAGGGCACTGGGCCCCGTCAGGAAGACGCTGGGAAGTTTGTGCCCAGCTCTTCCCCTCCCAACTCACTCTGGAGTCCAGCTCTCAGTATTTGGTTCTAGTATATGTGTGTGGTGGTCTGCTTTCCCTGGGTTTCCAAGTGTCTCCCCACACTTTCTTTCCTGAACTACCAACTCTTCCCCCCCACCACCACATACACACACACACACACACACACTTTGCATACCCCTTGTTGCCTGTGGATTATGATTAAATCACATGGCTGTGGGCTCAGATTGTTCCGGAGCTGGTCTGCTTCCTGCACCGCCTGGCCTCCGTGCACAAGGACTATGCCGTGATGCTCTGCTGCCTGGGAGCCAAAGAGACCCTCTCAAAAGTCCTGGAGAGGCACTCAGCCCAGCTACTGCTGGGGTGTGAGCTCCGGGACCTGGTAACAGAGTGTGAAAAGTACGCCCAGCTCTACAGAAAGCTCCCCTCCAGCATCTTGGCGGGCTGCATCCAGGTGAGTGGGGTGCTGTGTGGAGCTGAGGGCGGTGGGAGACAGACCAGGGAAGGGAGCCTGCGTGTTCCTGTTTGCTGTGGGCGCAGCTGGGAGTCAGCCTGGGGCATTTGTTGCCAGACTCTTTCCCCCGACTCTTTCCTGCTCTGCCAACATTTGGGGAGAGAGGAGCAGAGTGCTCTGTTGCCCCTTGACTTTTTCTTCCTACACATTTCTGTGTATCCCTCCTCCCGATACTCCCGCTGCAGATGGTGCTGGGCCAGATTGAAGATCACAGACGAACCCACCAGCCCATCCACATTCCCTTCTTCGACGTGTTCCTGAAGTACCTCTGCCGGGGTTTGTGCCCTGATCTATGTACCCTTGGCTCCCACCCCAGCGTTTGTTGCTCCCTGCCCTTCCAGCCCCTAAGCTGTGTTTCCCCCGCCAACCCTCAGGCTCCAGCGTGGAAGTGAAGGAGGACAAGTGCTGGGAGAAGGTCGAGGTGTCTTCCAACCTGCACCGGGCCAGTCGGCTGACGGACCGGAACCCCAAGACCTACTGGGAGTCCAACGGCAGTGCCGGTTCCCACGCCATCACTCTGCACATGCACCGTGGTGTTCTTGTGAGGTAAGAATGTGCCAATGTGTGCACACACGTGTACTGTGATATGCCCCGCAAGGTGCTCTGAAACATCCATATACACACAATCCAATCTGTGTGCTGTGTGTAGTTTGCTCCCCAAATCTGGTGATGTCACCCACCCAGGTACACATGTCGACGATCTGTTCTTCCCATGGGGATTTGTTTCAGGCATTTCGCAAGGGTCTAGAGCGGTGGTTCTCAACCTCCTTAATGCTGCGACACTTAATGCAGTTCCTCGTGTGGTGACCCCCCCAGCCATGAAATGATTTTCGTTGTTACTTCATCACTGTCATTTTGCTACTGTTATAAATCGGGCGACCACTGTGAAAGGGTGGTTCGCCCCCCAAACCCCCAGAGGGGTCGCGACCCACAGGTTGAGAACTGCTGGTCTAGAGATAAAAGAACAAGCTACAATGCTTGTCTTCAGGAACTGCAGTCTGTCAAGGAGATAGGATAGAAAGCAGTGAACACAGAATAACAGCATGTGTTCTAGTTGACCTGTGTACTTGTTTCTGAGAGAGCAGAGGAACGTCTGGGCAGACTGAGGGTGGACTGAGCTAGGTTTGGAAGCCAACATTAGAGAGATGAAGAGGAAGACAATGGATGTTCTAGACAATAAGGAAGACTCACAAGGCTGAGCTTGGGCACTATCAATGATTGAGTTTATCTGAAATGAAGGATGGGCATAGTATGTTAGTCCAGGTTGACTAGAGAAACAAACTCATAGACACTCGTGTGTAAGAGAGAACTTTATATCATAGAGCAATTGTACATTGAGAATATATCCCAGCCCAGTCCAGATCAAGTCCATGAGTTCAATATTAGCCCTTAAGTCCTATATTAGCTCAAGAATTCCTCTTGAGACTCATGCAGTACATGCAGTGATGCCAAATGCAGGAAGATCACCAGCCCGTGGTGGATTCAGTGGCGGTGGAAGTATCTCAGGCCTGGTGTGGGTCTCCGCGTGGCTCCTTCAGCTCCAGGGCTCTGGCTGTCATCAGGAAGATGTGGCTCCATGTGGCTTGTCAGCAGGAAGATGAAGCAGAGAGAGTGTGTGTGTGCATCTGGCCTCCAGTGAGCTCTTTATGTCCATGGTGACTCTAAATGAGGTCTTCAAGCTGCGACCTGATTGACAGGCTAGACTCCAGCCCTTCACAAGTTCACACCAGATTATATAACTGTCACAGAGAGCAAAGTGGCAGATAAGGCCTTCAAAGTAGAACAAAGACAGATCACAAAGAATTGTATGTGCTGTTTCCGCTTTATTCTGAAGAGTTAGGGAAAAGACACCAGTGAATTTTTTATTGAGAAAATTCACCCTGGAAATTTGGGAGATTGAGCTGGAGGCCAGGGAAGGAGTTGGAAGATTTGTGCCACAGTCTCGTTGAGAAAAGATCGGTGTCTTCCGTTGGGCAGAGAGGAGGGCAACAGGGAGGAGGTGATAGATGCAGAGATGCTAAGAGGGAGCGTCGGTTGTACTGCCATTGACTGATGTGAGCGACTGAGTAGGTGGTGTCCGTACTGTGATCCAGTGTGAATACTGGTGGGTTGGCAGTTCTGTTACCCGGTCGAGAGAGAGTGGGGAGGGAGAAGTTTCATGGCCCTCCATTTTGGACATGTTGACTTTGAGGTGATTGTGGAGCAGGCTGTAGAAAAGTCTCTGGACAACACAGCATTGAAGCTCAGGAGAGAGCTAGGGTAGAGAGGCAGACCCTACCATTGACACGATGGACCTAGATGGAGCCTCCTTTGGAGACCCTAAAGAGGTCCAAGAGAGGCCTGGCACCTCAAGAGCCAGCAGAGGAGCGGGAGCCTGAGAAGGAGGTGCTGAGTCGAAGTAGTTTTGAATTAAGACCAAACCGCAAAAACCAAACTCACAGCCATCAAATTGGTGCCAACTCATAGCGACTCTATAGGACAGAGTAGAACGGCAGGTTTCCTAGACTTAACTCTTAACAGGAGTAGAAAGCCCATCTTTCTCCTGCGGAGCAGCTGGTGGTTTCGAACTGCTGACCTTACAGTCAGCAGGCCCGTGCGCAACCACTACACGCCCAGGGCTCCTTGAATTGAGGCCAGGACCCCAATTTTGACTGATTGCTCTTCTCTCCCAGGCAGCTGACTCTGCTGGTGGCCAGCGAGGACTCCAGTTACATGCCGGCTCGGGTGGTGGTGCTGGGGGGTGACACTGCCAGCTGTATCACCACTGAGCTTAACACGGTGAGACCCCCTTCCTTTTCTTCCTCCTCCGCCCGCCGTTTGTCTCTGGGCAATTCCCACATCGCTCCCTCGGGGAGGCATTGCCGTATAAACAGGGAGAGTGGGCTTGAATGTGGAGCCTAGGCCCAAGGGCTTGGTTTGGGGGAAGTGAAGGGCAGACAACTGTGGTGGTCCTTCCAGCCCTGCTACTGGAGGTGCAAGCTCAGTTTACCTCCCCCTCCTCCCTGCCAGGTCAACGTGCTGCCCACTGCCAGCCGGGTGGTCCTCCTGGAAGGCCTGAACCGCTTCTGGCCCGTCATCCAGATCCGCATAAAGCGCTGCCAGCAGGTGTGGTGAGAGAAGATGCCAGGGTGGTGGGCATCGGGAGGTGGCACAAGTGTCTGCAGTAGCCCGGTTTGCCCACACCTTAGGGACCAGGGCTCTAGCCATGCCTCTTCTTGACCTGCTTGGGAGATGGTCCAGGAATGTGTTGGAGTCGAGATGTGCAGGGATTTCCCATGTGTCTCTGGGAAACCTGGGGTGCGACCCTTAGCGTATGACCTCCCTTAGAGCCTGACTTTGGTGGTGTTGGGCAGCAAAGGTGGCTTAGGTGACAGATAAGTTTGTGCATGTTGCAGGGTGGCATCGATACCCGGGTTCGGGGTGTGGAGGTCCTGGGCCCTAAGCCCACATTTTGGCCACTGTTCCGGGAGCAGCTATGTCGACGCACAGCTCTCTTCTACACGGTCCAGGCGCAAGCCTGGAGCCAGGACATAGCAGAGGACCGCAGACGCCTCCTACAGCTCTGTCCCAGGTGGGCAGGGGTGAGGGTACTGAGTGCAGGACGCTGGAGAGAAGCTTCGGGGTGTGTGGAAGGCAAAGCTGGAGATAGTGAGCACGGGCGAGCTTGTGTTGAGTGGGGAGAGCGCGTGAGGGAGATGGGCTGAGGCTTGGGGGGTGGGGGGGAGGAATCTGCACGAAGCGGAGGCCTCGAGGAAATCTCTGCCTTTAACCTTTAACCGTACACTTCTTGTCCCAGGCTGAACAAGGCTCTGCGCCACGAGCAGAGTTTTGCTGACCGTTTCCTCCCCGACGAGGAGGCTGCGCTAGCACTGGGCAAGACGTGCTGGGAGGCGCTGGTCAGCCCGCTGGTGCAGAACATCACCTCCCCTGGTAACTGTGGTGGCACCTGGCTCATTCACCACCCCTTCTGTTTGTTTCCAAGCATCACTGAGCTCATCTTTGGGTTCCTGCCTTTATCTCTTATGCCTTTCACCTCCGGGTTCCTCTCCTCCTTACCCAGGGCTGCTCCTGGCTATTTGAATCTCCACCCCCACCCCCACCGCACTCATCACTGTGGCCCCAGACTCCCGCTGACCCGAGCTTTGGCACAGTGGGCACGAGGGTTCTACATTCCCCAGAGCCTCCTGTACAGCTGCTCCTCGGGCTCTCCTTGCCACCCTTCCTCATGGAGCTCTCTCCCGACCCCTCAGATGCTGCGGGAGTGAGCTCCCTGGGCTGGCTGCTGACCCAGTACCTGGAACAAAGACAGAACTCTCGAAGGCCCCTCAGTCGAGCAGCACCCTTTGCCTCTCGCGTCCGTCGTCTCTGCCACTTGCTGGTGCATGTGGAACCTCCTCCCGGGCCTTCTCCTGAGCTGTGCCCTCGTCCCTGTAAGTCCAGCCGTGGCCAGACGGTTAGCAGTCTGGCTCCTCCCCCCCGCCTTAAATGTCATTCATCCGACTGCTCTTCCGTGGGACTTCCCAGGGCATCAAGACCGGATCCGGAGCCCTGGGCTGAGCCCAGGTTGAGATGGTACCCATGTCCTTGCCTTCTGCTTTCCACAGTCAGCAAGAACAGTAAGGGTCGGGATCGGGGCCTCGTGCCTCCCCCAGTTCTTCCAAGCAGCAGCCTGAGGAACATCACCCAGTGCTGGCTGCGTGTGGTGCAGGAGCAGGTGGGCAGCAGCAGGCGGAAGGCTGGGGTGGGGGTGGGGGGAACGGTGGTGGTTGTGTGTGTTTGGGGGGTGTGAGGGTGTGTTTAGGGTGTGTGTGTGTGTGTTGCTGAGCCACTGACTGAGCAGCGCCTGCTCTTTGGATGTTATTTCTTTCCCTTTGTCTGCAGGTCAGCAAGTTCCTGACTGAAGCCTGGGGAGCCCCAGAGTTTGTGCCTCGCTACTGCCAGCTCTATGAGCACTTGCAGAGAGCAGGCTCCGAGCTGTTTGGGCCTCGGGCCGCCTTCACCCTGGCTCTGCGCAACGGCTTCTCAGCTGCTCTGCTGCAGCAGTCCTTCCTCACCGCTGCTCACGTGAGTGCAGCTCCCGTGTGGCCGCCTTCTTCCCACTCTTCTTTGACCCCTCACTCTCCTCCTCCTCATTATTCATGGTGTTCCTGGTGCCCTTTCCAATGCCTCCAGATGAGCGAGCAGTTTGCCAGGCACATCGACCAGCAGATGCAGGGCAGCCTGATTGCTGGAGCCCCAGGGGGGGACATGCTGGGGCGCCTGCAGCGGCAGCTGGAGCCCATCATGGTCCTTTCGGGTCTGGAGCTGGCCACTACTTTTGAGCACTTCTACCAGTGAGTCAGGTCTGGAGGGGGAGGGGTGTAAATGAGAAGAAGGCGACTGTGGAGGCAGTGGGGAGGAGAGATTAGGATAAGAGAGGATCGTGCCACTGGTGGAAAGGAAGGGGAAGGAAGATGTGATGCAGGGCCTATGGTTCAGACTGGCTGGAGCAGAGGGACCAGAATTCTGGGAGAGGAGCCTGGGCCTGGGCCACCCTAGGCACCCACACTAAAGCTTAGCCCTGACTGTGTGTGTGCTGCAGGCACTACATGGCGGACCGACTCCTGGGCCTGGGCCCGAGCTGGCTGGAGGGGGCTGTGCTGGAGCAGCTTGGTCCCTGCTTCCCCAACCGCCTCCCCCAGCAGATGCTGCAGAGCCTGCGCACCTCTGAGGAGCTGCAGCACCAGTTCCACCTCTTCCAGCTTCAGCAGGTGGACCAACTGCTTTTGGAGCAAGAGGATGAGGAGGAAGAGCAATCAGAGGAAGAGGAGGTAAGAGCAAGGGAAAAGAGGAGGAGAACAGGAAAGCCGACTAGACCAAAGAAGGGAGCCCAAGGGCGCTTGAAACCCTCTGTCCCTCAGGAGGAAGAAAAGGAAGAAGAGGCTGAGAAAGAGCTATTTGCTGAAGATACAAGCCCAACAGTTTCTGTCCTGGTCTTGTCACCACGCTGCTGGCCAGTCTCCCCACTCTGCTACCTGGCTCATCCCAGAAAGTGCCTTCCCACAGCATTCTGTGATGCCCTTGACCACTTCTCCAACTTCTACAACCAGAGTGAGGAGCTAGAGAGAGGAAACTGGGGACTGGGGTGAGATCTGGGTGAGAAGAGAGGAAGCAGATGGACCTTTGGTAGGAGCCTGTAGGTATAAGATCAAAGGGGGGCAGCAATCTTCTAGGGAGGGTGAAAAAGTATGGGTGGTGTCCTTGTCAGTATTTGGTCTTATGATTTCCTCAAATTTTCTAAGAGTTTAGTCTATGTTTTCTTTCTCTAAAAATCAGGTTGCATGCTTACATAGTTTTCAGTCTCCCCAGACTTCTTTTTCAAATAAGAGTAGTTAAGGTTATTCATTTCCCTTTAGTATTGCTTTAGCTGCATCCTATAAGGGTTTTTTTCCCCCTTAAGATTTTTAATTTAGGCACTCCATCAAATACACAAATCTTGACTGTAAAGGTTAATGAATTATGTGATGTGTACCTATGGAACTACGACCCAGGCCAAGACACAGAACCCTCCCAGTACCTCGGAAGACTTCCTCTTTCATGTCCCCTCCCAGCCAAAATCTTCCAGGAGAAACTATTCTACTTTCCGTTATCACCATAGATGTCTGTCTATATCTGAACATTATGTAAGAGTGTGTATTCTGCGTCTGGTTTTTCACGTAGTGCCCTGTAGGGGCTAGCTACGTTGTCACTGATGTCATTCATTTGTACATACTCCAGAGCGCGACAAGATGGACTTTCTTGCTGTGGATGGACGTTTGGGGTCTTTTATGATGTAGTATTTTTAAAATAGTGTCAAGAATTTTATCATTTATATTACTGTTTCTTTTTTGACGTATTAGTTCCTTTGTTTTTAATCATTTTATTGGAGGCTCTTATCACAATCCATACAAACTTCCATTGTGTCAAACACATTTGTACATTTGCTGCCATCATCATTCTCAAAACATTTTCTTTCTACTTGAGCCCTTGGTATCAGCTCATCCCAACCCCCCATTAACTCTTGATAATTATATATATATATATATTTCAAATCTTACACTGACCGCTATCTCCCTTCTCCCACTTTTCTGTTGCCTGTCCCCCTGGGAGAGGGTTATATGTAGATCATTGTGATGGGGTCCCCCTACCTTCCCCTTCCCTTCCTGGGTATTGCTACTGTCATGATTGGTCCTTCAGGTTTATCTGTCCTGGATTCTGCATGTCCAGAGCTCTTAGCTGTACTAGTGTACATGCTCTGATCTAGCCAGATTTGTAAGGTAGAATTGGGTTCCTGATTGTTGGGGGAGGAAACATTAAAGAACTAGAGGAAAGTTGTATGTTTCATTGTGCTATACTGCACCCTGACTGGCTTGTCTCTTCTTTGTGACCCTTCTGTAAGTGGATGTCCAGTTGTCTATAGATGGGCTTTGGGTCTCCACTCCGCTCCCCCCAACCCCATTCACATTGATATGATTTTTTGTTCTGAGTCTTTGATGCCTGATTTTCCTGATCCCATCTACATTTCATGATCACACAGGCTGGTGGGTGTGCTTCTTCCATGTGGGCTTTGTTATCTTCAAGCCTTTAAGACCCCAGATACTCTATCTTTTGATAGCCGGGCACCATCAGCTTTCTTCACCACACTTGCTTATGCACCCATTTTGTCTTCAGTGATCATGTCAGGAAGGGGAGCATCACAGAATGCCATGTTATTAGAACAAAGTGTTCTTGCATTGAGAGAGTACTTGAGTAGAGGCCCACTGTCCGTCTGCTACCTTAATACTTAAATATATGTATGTAGATCTATTTCCCTATCATTATATATAAATATATTTACAGTGTACATGCCTGTATTTAGACCTCTGTAAATGCCCTTTGCCTCTTAGTTCTTTCCTCTATTTTACTTTCCTTTTGTTACCCTATCATGTTCGGCTTTCACTTGATGTATTAGTTTTTTGAAATTGTATTTTTAAGTTTCCAAACACAATTTTAAATTATCTTTCTGTTTTTTAGATTTCTGCTTTCATTCCATTGTACCCAAAGATCAAGGGCTTTATTTTATTTTATTATTCTGTGTGGCTTGCCTAAAAGATGGACAAGTTATCTTGAGGGTTACATGTGTGACAAGAAGAAACTGTATTTTTCAGCTGTTTGGATGTAAGATTTTACATCGTAACCTTACTAAATATGTTGTTCAAGTCTCCTCCAACCCTATTAATTTTCTTACTGATTTATTTTAAACCATTTAACACAATCCATATATTAGTTCAATCATCCATTCATATCAAGAAGAATTGTACAATCCTTATCACAATCAATTTTAGAACATTTGCTGTATATACTTGAGTATAAGCCGACCCGAATATCACCCGAGGCACCTAATTTTACCACAAACACTGCATTAAAAATGTGCTGGAAAACTCAGCTTATACACGGGTATATACGGTACTTTCTTGTCCTCCTTTTTATTAGCTCCCCATTTTCCTTCAGCCTCCCCTTCCACACCCCCAGGAAACCATAAATCCAGGGACTGTCTATGCATTCACCATCCTGGATTTCATATAGCAAAAAACATAACAAAAACAACACTAACAAAATAGAGAAAAACTTAATTGAAAAACAAAATGTTAAAAACCAGTAAACAATTTTCAAATGGGTCAAAGGGAGGTCAAATTTTACCCTAGCTCCATGTGCCATTATCTCTTTCCTAATGCAGTCTGCATGGAAGCCAGGTTACTCACATCCCTGGTCAGTGTTCAGAGAGAGCCGTACACATTTTGGTCTGGTACTGAGAGAAGCATGCTAAATTTAACCCTTATAGTAGGGAACCTACTACTTTATCTTAATAATGTTTGGCATTATATATTTTTGGCAGTTATTTAGATATAAGTTTAGAATTGTTCAACACTACTTTCCAATAGAATTTTATGCAGTAATGGAAAAATTATTGACTGCACTATTCAACATGGTAGCCATTTACTGGTTATTGGGCTCCTGAAATGTGGCCAATAGGATTAGAGAAATGAATATTTAATTTTATTTTGTTTAAATTTAATAGCCATATATAGCTAGTGGAAATGTGGTAAGGAAAATTGATGGTGCCCGGTTATCAAAAGATATAGTGTTAAATAAAAAAATTTTTTAAATTAAAAAAAAAAAAAGATAGCATCTGGGGTCTTAAAGGCTTGAGGATAAACAAGTGGCATCTAGCTGAGAAGCAACAAGGCCCACATAATAGCTAATGGAATACTTTGGACTTTCTTTTGCCTCTCGATACTGCTTTAGCTACACTCTATGCATTTTAAAAATTAATTAGGCGAATGGGCTATAGAGATTTAGAATTTTCACCGTAAATGAGATTGTATTAGCATTGTGACGTAACCTCCTTTTTTTAAAGTAGAGACTTTTCTCTAACAGCCTGCTTTTGCCAAGTACTAACAGTAAGTACACCTACTTTCTTTTAGTTAGCATCTCTCTGGTCTATCTCGTTCTATCCTTTCACTTTTAAAAATGTTTTATTTGGAAATAATTTCGAATTTAAAGAAAAATTACAATAACAATACAAAGAACATCCATATACCCTTTATATAAGCGTGTCTTACATTGCATTCTGCCCTGTTTGCTGTTTTCATTTGCTTTTTTTACACACCTACAAAAGGGCTTCAAAAAGTATGTGGACATTTTCTGTTCTTATTCTACTTTTACACACACTTTTTGAATCCCTCTTGTGTGTATGTATATGCGTATATACACGTAAGAGAGAAACATTTTTTAATCATTGAGGATACATGGCATATAGATGACCCTTTCCCCTATATACTTTAGTGATTATTTTCAAAGAGTAAGACCATCCTCAGTTTGCTGCTCAGTTTCAGAAGGTTAACAGTGGTAACATTGGGCCAGCATTACTGTCTGTACTGCAATGTGGTGAACTGATTCCATAATGTCGTCTGTGGCCTTTTTTTTGGGTGGGGGGCAGGTGTCCCAAGGTAAAATTCACTCTCGGATCACAAATAGTGTTGTCATGTCTCTTTAGTCTCCTTAAATCTGGAACCTTCTCTCAGCTTTTCTTTGTATTCTATGACTCTGACTTTCCTAGAGAACATGGCCCTTTCACAGCGTTGGATTAGTCCTTACCAAAGCTTTGAATCTTCCCTTGTGACGAGATTTAGGTTATAAGTTTCTGCTTGGAACCCTAAGTGAGTGACCGCATGTATTCGCACTTCTCATCCTATAACATTGGGGGCACGGAGTCCCCGTTGGCCCCTCATTTGCCATGTTGATTTTGATCACCAGGTCAAGGGTTGTCTGATTTCTCCCGTGTAGTTAATATTTTTCCCTGGCTAAGTAATCTGTGAGGAGAACACAGTGTCCTTTTACTTTTAACTTGATTATACCTGTATTTTAGGTGTGTGTCTTATAAGGAGTTAGATTTTTTTTCTTTATTTTTGACAGCCTTGCTCCTTGAGTTATCAGATCTTGTAGTATTAAATTAAAAGTAATTGACGCTGATGGAGGGGGAGGGGACCAGCCCCCACCCGCTGCTACTCCTACGAGTTCAGTAATACTACTTCTGGGTTCAGTAATGCACAATTGTACGGTTGAGATATATAAGTATTATATTAAAGTCATTGAGAGCATGAGAGATAATACAATAATACAGTCAGGCATGAT